TTATAATATTTAATTAATTTTCAGCTGTCTGTTGTGTCCCATTTGTCTCATTTGGTTCAAATGAGGTTGCCGAAGCAGCCTGCCCCCTACATTATCTTAATTGTATCGATAAAAGCGTAAAAAACGTAAAATTACTGAGTGGTCACATTTGTGTACATACATGTGAAATTTTCTTTAAACATGTGAAATTTTCTTTAATTTGTAAGATTTTTAGTTAAAATATAATTTTGCTAGGTTTGTCTCGGTACAAACTAGTATATAGATGTTAAATTTGGTGATAAAAGGATATCATATGTTGACCAAAAATATAGTATTCTAAGCAGAGAGCCTCTAAAACGTGACTTTTCCATAACGGGGCGGGTGCGGCTACGTACCTGTTGTTTGTCACAAGCTCTAAATAAAGGTATTACAAATAGACTAATAGGCTTTGGGGCGTAGCCTATGACGTAGGCTAGATCTAGATATAGTATTGTAGACATTGAAATGTATACGATTTTGTGAATATATAAAAGTCACGATTCGACGTTCGGGTTCTTTTTTTACGTGAGCTCAGATTGTGTGTGTGTTGTTTATTGATGTCGGGACAAAGAGTTTGTGGTCTTAGGTGATATTCACACGTCTTCGTGTGAGTTATTCGCAAAATATCTGCTGCATTACTTATAGTCCGTCTAGTCAGTCATGCACATAATAATATTATGTTTTGCGATGCGGTGAGGCGCGCATCAGTTTTTTAATAAGCATAAAATGGAATTACTGTTGTCATTCTAAAGCTTGTTTATTTATGTCGCTTTTGATGGGAAAAAAATATCAAACTATCTTCACTTTAAAAAATAAATTTTTGCGATTCAAAGAGGTGGGAGTCGCCTGGTGCCAGAGGCGAGAAAATGGCGGCCAAAATTTGGTGTCTTCTAAAACTTGAGGGGGTACTTGGAAACTGCAAATTTACATTTTGTGTGTGTGTGTGTGTGTGTGTGTGAGTGTGTGTGTGTGTGTGTTTGTGTGTGTTTGTGTGTGTGTGTGTGTGTTTTAATCAACATTTTCTTAAAAAGTACAATCGACCCAGAAATGCGTTTTAAATGGACATAAAAGGTGCTGCACAAAAGATTTTTTACTAAAAGCTCAGAATTGCCCAACGGGTGGGAAAATGCTAGTTTCTTTGATTTCACTGTTTGACAAGCGCCTGATTTCAGTGTCTTTACACATATAATTATCATCTGAATGGGTGGCTGGAGGGCAACCCTGGGACAAGTCCTACATTCTTTCTTCTCTCTATCTGTCTTGCTCTTTCTCGGCATTAATTGGCAGTTATCGACCCGATGCTCTTCTCTTTGCTCAAGCTATACATAAAGATCGCCATGAGTCTTTTTCAAAGAACGTCGGGCAAGCTATTCACAGATTATCTGATGCCTTTGATGCAGCCAGCCAATAAACCAGTTTTGATGTAAAGTGGTAGTCATAGATCATCTCTCTATAAACCGATACCTTAGAATTACAAAGTTCAATCTGACATTTTTGGCAATATTGAGTTACTAAAACCATGAGGTCAGAAATCAATTTTTCTATCTTCCCTATCAAATTCGTAAGGTTATTCGGAGTCGTTATCAAGATATTCAAAGAATTGTATTTTTAAAAAGCTTGACATGTGAAACTCAGAATGTTTGACGTTAAATGTCTCAAAACTTGGTCCTGAGCAGACAGAAACTTGCAATTCGAAGGTAGCGAAACGTTCAGAGTACAAAGTCCAGGCAGGCAAACAGAGACACTCGATAACAAAACAAAACTAAAAAACAACAACTATACTCGCGGGACATCTTCTGTGTGCAGGAAGATAAAATGAGACTTCTATGTGCAGGCAGATAAAATGAGATACTCGACTAAGAACAACAACAAAAATTAAAAACTGTCCGCGGGAGTTGAACTGACATCTACTGTGTGAGACAACAAAGCGTCTAACAGCTACCCTACAGAGGCCGGTGACCCTATGTGCGTCCAACATAACATGACTGACCATGACATTATTGCTTGGCAGCCTAGGGAGAAGGGGCAAGGCTGAAAGGATTAGACATGAAGTTTCTGCAGAACGAGAAGACGTAAAATATAATATTGAACGGAAGAGAGAAATTTTATAATGCAAGAATCAATGAAAAGGGGACAGAAAACAGAGTTTTTTTTAAAAAGAGAAACATAATAATGTACGCAAACAAAACAAAAAAATCTGTTGGAAAATGAAAGAACTAAAAAAAGTTTGAAATAAACAGAATGTAAAGGAAGAAAGGAGAGACCCCCTCTCTCTCTCTCTCTCTCTCTCTCTTTCTCTCTCTCTCTCTCTCTCTCTCTCTCTCTCT